ACCAGTCCAGAGCACCCTTGCAGCAGCACCTACCCATCACAGGCCCTAGCCAACTCCACAGCACATGCGACACATGGGCTGGCCTACAGCTTGGTGTGGAAGAAATGGGGTGCTGCATAGGTTGTGACTGGTGGTGCGTGCCAGGCAGATGAGGCTGGGCAAAGTCTGTGGCGGAGGGCACTGTCGAAGGACGTGGGCGGGAAGTGCATTAGGCCAGTGGCCATGGGTGAAGGGCCTGCAGTGGCCAGGAATTGGGCTGGGAAGGCTGGGATGACCAGGGGGCTAAAGGGGAGTGCAGCCTGGCCCTTCAAGGGGTCCAGGGTGCCAGCGAAGTTCAGCGGGCAGTGCAGCATAGTACCCTTGTAGGCCTCTGGGGGCATAGGCCCCAGGGCTGGGCCCAGCAGGCAGGAGACCAGGCCAGATCCTGCAAGTTTGGCTCCACACTTCTTGGCATCCGCCTCCTTAAGAAAGGGAGACACAGCCCGCAGTCTCTTCCCACTGTGGGCAGCACCCTCTTCCTCCAGGCTGCGCTTGCTGCCAAGGCCTGGGCTACCGAGGAAGGTGGATGGGGGCGCGGGGCTCTTGGCCGGGACCTTGGCCATGGGAGATACCCAGCAGGCTTTTGGCTTGGGGTAGAGGCTGCCTTTTCTGGAGCCACCTTTGTGGAATGCAGAAGGGTGGTTGGCGTCCCCACCCCACACCAGCTGGGGCTCTTTCACTGACAGCCCCTCTTTGCCAGAAGGCCCCAATAGCACCCCATCTTTAAGTCTGGAGAAGAAGTCCCTGGGGTGCTGGCTGACAGGCTTCAGCACTTCAGTGGGGTGGGTGTGGAAGCAGCCTGTGAAGATGGGGGCTGCCGGGCAAGGTCTCGCCTGTACCTCCTCCCCGAGGCTACCACCTGGGGCCTGCAGTCCCTCCTGAGGGGTCAGCTGGTGCCTGGAGTTCTCAGCCAGTCCTTTGGGGCTCTGAGGACTCTCTGGGGGGTGAACAGCTGGGGATGCCTGGGGGTCTGCCCCATGGCGACAGCCCTCCTCCTGGCACTGCAAGGCCTCCACCTTGCTCACCTGGGCCAGGAGCTTCTTTTTGGCCAGTGGTGACATGATGCCATGTGTCCCCTTGCAGTAGAAGCTGGATAGGAGCCGTTTGTAGGCCTCAGGGCAGCCGCTGGCACCCACAAAGGACATAGAAGATGCAGAGGCCGGGCTCTGCTGTTCTGTGCTGTTTCTGGGGGACTCCTGGCTAGGAAGAGGTGCTGGGTTATCGACATCTGCTTTGGTGTTTCCTGGCATCATCTGCAATGAGAGAAAGCCATGCCTCAGGGCTGCATGACCTGTGCATCCCGACCTGGGGAGCAGGAGGAGGCACTTTCAGTCCTGCCTATATCCCCTGCTAGCCTCTACAGTGCCTCTGTGCAGAATTTTCCAAAGGTGCCCTGTCCTGTGAGTGGACACAGCCTCGAGTCAGGACACAGGGCCTGGTGGGTGGGCGGAGGCTGGAGTTCAGAGGCCACTTGCACAACCGTCTGTGGAGAACCTGGAACCCTGCAAGTCCTGACCTGGGTGCAGTTTCTGTGTGTTCTGAGCAGACAGCCCTGTGGCTGCAGGGAGTTGTGGGGTGGGGACTGCAAGAGGCAGGGGACAGGGTGGCTCCAGCCAGCTGTAGGCCTACCTGGTCCACGTGCCGCTCCTCCTTGGCCTTCTTCAGCCTCTCAGTGGCCCCATCATCCCCCCTGTTCTCCTTGGCCATCTTGTATTGTTTCCTGGGCTTGGAGGTGGGCAGCGGCTTGTCATCCTCCCCCTTCAGGTGCCGCACGTATGGCAGGACCAGCCTGGGGAGGAGCCAAGCATGTCCCCCAGGAGGCCGGCTCCCATTCCCTCCACGGGCCTCTGCGACTTCCTCTAAGCGACAAGGAAGGCCCTCTCCTGGCCCCAAAGCTTCAGCTCCCTAGGTGATTGCGCCCAGCCAGCTTGGCCTCCTGCAGTGCTAAAAGCTAAGGACGGCGCACACACCTCCTGTTCCGGGCAGAGTCCACCCGGCACTCCCAGCACGCTCGGCCAAGGCCCCGGAGGGCAGGTGGCCTCCAGCACCCGGCCCACCCCACTATACCTCTCGTAGTGGCGGCGTGTGCACGTGGCTGCGCTGGTGCTACCCGGGCTGCCCCCCAGCTCGTCATACACGTTCTTCCAGAGGCGGCGCCCGGTCACCTGCAAGGGCACCTAGTGAGGGTGCAGCTGGTGGGCGCCCCCTGGCAGCGGGATCCTTGCCGCTCTGGCCCCCTTCGCAGGGACCCGGCAAGGACTGCAGTTTGGCAGCTGCCCTGCAGCTCCAGCAGCGGCTGGCCCATTCTCCCTCCCAGGGCCAAAGACTGCTGGCCCAAGCAGTTTTCCCAACACAGGTTAGGCAGGACAGATGGGGAAGGCTGGAAAAGCTGCTTTGAGCAGCAGAGTACCAGCGGGGGAGGTGGGGAGGCAGGGGCAGGACAGGGGATCCTGGCTCTTCCTCTGTCCAGAGGCTGCAGGCTCACCCCAAGAAGATGGAGTTTGGTAAGGATTGGGAGGTACCTGCCTTACCAGCTCATAGGCCCCCAGTTTCTCCACTGCCTTGTAGATCTTCCACAGGTTAACTGGGGGAGAGAGGGGCAGGCCAGCAGTCAGTCTCTCTGGGAAGTGGGGGCAGCCTGCCACCCCTTCCTAGCACCCTGTCAGACGGGCACAGACCAGCACACACCAGCCAGGGCCACTGCAACGAACAGGCAGGCTATGCCCTGTGCACTGCTGGCCCAGTGGCAGCCTGGAGGGAAGCCTCCTTTCTATCTGCAACCTGGGTCACCCAGAATGGGAGTGCCTGCCCGATGCCCTGCCTGGGTGGGGTCCCCTGCTGGGCCCCCCTCCCTGCCTGCACCCCAGGGACGCACTCTGCTTGAAGCCGAGATGGGGCACCCTCTCGATGGGTGTGTGTCGCTCCTTCATGAACTTGTAGAGGCTGACCAGGAAGGCCTGCTCCTCCTCCCGCTCCTGCTCCTGCTCCTCCTCCCGCTCCCCGCCTGCCTCGGGGGAGTCCTGGGGAGAGAACAGGAGGCATTGGGATGGGCCCCAGTTGGTGGCTGGCTGCTGAGGATGTGCAGAAACCACTGGTTGCAGGAGGAATAAAGTACCTGCCCCAACCCCAGTTTCCCAGAGAGCACCCAGCCACTATTCTGGGACAGAGTGACTGTTCCTGGGTTCGGCAGGCACAGGTGTCAGTTTTCAGTGCCCCAGGACAGGGGCTGGAGTCCAGGACCTCCCCAGAGCAGCTGGCTCCAGAGGCCAAGGGAGCAGTCCCCAGCCTTCTCCATGCCAGGGTCACTTCTCTGTCTTGCTCTTGATTTATCATATATGTGTCAGCTCCTCTGTCAGACTAGGAGCTCCTGGAGGGCAGGGCTCAGTGTCCCTGGGGCCCTCCTGAGGGAAAAGCTGAAGGAACAGAGGTGCTTGGTGCTTTCTGGCACTGTGGGGTCACTCTGTCAGGCCCACATTCCCAGAGCCTCTACATGGCCCCAGCCTGCCATGCTGAGCACAGGGAGGTGAAGCTCTGGGCCTCTACTGCACACTGTCAGGGACACAGGACTTTTGTTGTGGGTCCCAGAGGGGCAATCTCTGCTGATGCCATTCATCCAGCAAGTGGCTCAGAATAGAGGGGTACAGTGGGTTGGGGCTGAAAGCCCAGGACCCATACCCTGGCACAAGGTAGTCTCCTACTTAGAGAACAGACAGCTTCCAGAACACAAACCATCTGGACTAGAACAGTGCAGAGAGCCATGTGTTCTAAAAATATTTTATCCAGCTGGGCACGTGGCTCACATCTGTAATCCCAGAACTTTGGGAGGCTAGATGGGCACATCACCTGAGGTCAGGAGTTCGAGACAAGCTTGGCCAACATGGAGAAACCCCATCTGTACTAAAAATATAAAAATTAGCCAGGCCTGGTGGTGCCTGCCTATAATCCCAGCTACTCGGGAGGCTGAGGCAGAAGAATCGCTTGAATCCAGAAGGCAGAGGTTGCAGTGAGCCAAGATCGTGCCACTGCACTCCAGCCTGGGTAACAGCGAGACTCTGTCTAAAAAAAAAAAAAAAAAAAATTAAATAAATAGATTCAAGTTTATTTCAGTGTTATTACTATTTTTTTAGTTGTAAATAGCTTCTATAATAGTTCAGTGTTTTTAAGGTATTAAAGACCTCTAAGAAGAAACAACATACAAACTCATGTCACCTATGAAATCGTAGCATGCTGGGGCCCGGGGATGATCTGTGCAGACCTCAGAAGGAAGGCTCACTCTCAACTGCTCAAGTGAATCTGCTCCTCCAGGCCTCTATTCTGAATTCCAGGCAAGCTGCTAAAGACGACTACCATTTGCAACCACTTTTCTGCATGAATCGGGATACTTTTCCAGACTGTGCCACCAAAGTAAATGGTGGCATGAAATGAACGGAAGCTGAGCTCGACTGTGCGCCGAAAAAGCCACCTGCAACACCCCCTTCAGATTCTGTACTCATTGAAACAGCCTTGGTTGTTGGTCTCGTGGAGTGACTTTATATGCCCACGTTATGCATCGAGATGAACAGATGTGAATGTGGTTTTACAATATGGGCTGGAACTTTTGTCTGTTTTATGGATGGATCAGGGTGGTGGGTCATCTTCATTTGAAAAAAGGGTTCTGCTACAAAAACCAAGATTGAAACTCTCTGCCACAGATGACAAGTGAGTCCCCTGGCTGCCAGGCAGGGCTGGGACAGGAACATGTCTCAATTCCTGAGAGCTTGGGGAGTGTCCAGGTTTACCCGGAGGCTAAGCACAGGTGAAGGTGGCAGGGAAGAGTGCTCAGGGAGTCAGCCAACTCACCTCCAGCAGGATGGGGTTCTGGCTCCTGTTCTGCTCACCAGCAGGTTTGGGAGATGCAGGTGGGTCTAGGGCATCACCCTCTGTGGACTGCTTCCTGTTCCCTTTGACAGGGGCTGCTGCAAGGAGAGAGGGAAGAGGGAAGGAAGGAGGAAGAGGTGGGGAGAGAGCACATGAGATGCAGGCAGGGAGGAACAGCAATCTCCCCAAGTCCAATCAGAGTTGCCAGAGGGTGCTGGTGGTGCAGGGGCTAACACCTGTGATCCCAGCACTCTGGGGGGCCCAAGCAGGCCATTGCCTGAGGTCAGGAGTTCGAGACCTGCCTGGCTAACATAGAGACCCTGTCTCTATTTAAAAAAAAAAAAAAAAAAAGAATTGGCCGGGGGTGGGAAGGGGCATGTCCCTAGCTGCACACAGGCTATCCTGCACACATGGGCACGCACACGCACACACACACACACACACACACACACACACACCCCTCGCCACTCCCCAACCCACTGCATCCGCTCCACACCCCTTTTCTTTCCTCTGCTCCAGCTATCTCCCCACATCTTTGAAGGAAACGCAAAACCACCTTGAGGTCAAGTCAGAGGAGGCTGGGGTTGGGCTGTGGTGCTTGGGGAAATCCTGTCTCCAAAAACCATGCTCAGACACAGAGTTCCGAAGCAACTCAGCCTCACTGGAGAGCTAAAGGATCCCATGGATGTGGCCTCAAGGCACCACAGGGGGTCCCTGGGTAGTAGTTCCTCCAGGCATACTAGGGAACATCTGACCTTTCCCTGAGAATCTGCAGAGTTCTAACTGCTCTAATTAGGCCACATGTTCCCCTCACCTGCAGGAGTCCTGGTGGCCCCTCAGGTCTCTGCTGACAAGTGTCTTTCTCTAGGTGGCCTCCTCCGGCCCCTGGCCACAGACATCTCCTCCATTGCCCTCGGCTACTCACAGTTATCCTGGCATCCTGGCTTAGCTGCCTGTGGCTCCCAGGGCTCCTTGATAGCTCAGTGAGGCTTCCCATGCCCCACACGGCAGGTGCCAAGCTGGAATGAGCAAGGCTCACACCAACCCTGAGTAGTGGGCAGGAGAAGCCATGGCCTCTATTTTACTAAGAGCCACCATGTGCTGATGGTTTCAAAAATGCAACACCTCCACCACTGCAAAAAACACAAGCATTGGAAACTGCCTCAGGCCACATGGCAGGCTGGCAGCAGATACCAGACCAGGAACCCATGTCTGACAACCTTTTCTTTCTGTCCTTTTGTTAATTGAGTATGAACTGTCCTGTACTCTTGGTTCACTTCAGCCCAGAAAATCCTTATTGTTGGGAATCTGTGAGATTTCCCTTCCATCCCAGAGAGAAAAAGAATCTCCTTGGGAACAAGAAACCCATACTAGCATGAACCAGGGGCCAGTAGTACTCAGAGGCACGGGGTAGAAGACTTGGCCACTGAGTGGTCCCACTTCGATAGGTGTTCATGTCTTGCCTCCATGTTGATGGTTGCTGACTGATCAGGGTGATGGTGTCTGGGGCTGGGGTGACTGTGGCAATTTCTTAAAAATAAGATGACAGTGAAATCTGCCATATTCATTAACTCTTCCCCCCTTCACCATTTTTTTTTTTTTTGAGACTGAGTCTCGGTCTTTTGCCCAGACTGGAGTGCAGTGTTGTGACCTTGGCTCAGGGCAACCTCTGCCTCCCTGGTTCAAGCGATTCTTCTGCCTCAGCTTCCAAAATAGGTGGGACTACAGGCATATGCCACCACACAGGTAATTTTTGTATTTTTAGTTGAGACGGGGTTTCACCATATTGGCCAGGCTGGTCTCGAACTCCTGACCTCATGATCCACCCAACTCGGCCTCCCAAAGTGCTGGGATTACAGGCATGAGCCACTGCACCCGGCAACTCTTCCTTTCATGAAGGATTTCTCTGTGGCATGTGATGCTGCTTGACAGCATTTTATCCATAGCAAAACTTCTTTCAAAACTGACGTCCATCCTCTAAAACCCTGCTGCTGCTTTATCAATTAAGTTTATGTAACATTCTAAACCCTTTGTTGTCATTTTGACAATGTTCACAGCATCTTTGCCAGGAGTAGATTCCACCTCAAGAAGCCACTTTAGGATGAGCACGGTGGCTCATGCCTGTAATCCCAGCCAGCACTTTGGGAGGCCAAGGTGGGTAGATAACCTGAGGTTAGGAGTTTGAGACCAGACAGGCCAACATGGCAAAACCCTGTCTCTACTAAAAACACAATAATTGGCCGGGTATGGTGGCAGGTGCCAGTAGTCCCAGCTACTTGGGAGGCTGAGGCAGGAGAATCCCTTGAACCCAGGAGGTGGAGGCTGTAGTGAGCTGAGATTGCACCACTGCACTCTAGCCTGGGTGATGAAGCAAGACTCTGTATAAAAAAAAAAAAAAAAGCCACTTTCTTTGCCCATCCATAAAAGCAACTCTTCATCCATACAAGTTTGATCATGAGATTGCGGAAATTCAGTCTCATCCTCAAGCTGTACTTCTAACTCTAGTTCTCTTGCTTGTTCTACCACATCTGCAGTGAGTTCTCCACTCAAGTCTTGAACCCCCTGAAGTCATCCATGAAGACTGGAATCACCTTCTTCCAAATGCTTGGATATTTTGACCTCCCACAAATCACAAATGTTCCTTAAATGCTCTCCAGAGGTTTTCAATGTACTTTGCCCATATCCATCAGAGGAATCACTATTTATGGCAGCTATAGCCTTACAAAATGTATTTCTTCAATAGTAAGACTTGAAACTTGAAATTACTTCTTGATCCTTGGCTGCAGAATGGATGCTGTGCTTGCAGGCATGAAAACATGTATCTCCTTGCACATTTCATCACAGCTCTTGGGTGACCAGTCGCCTTGTCAATGAGCAGCAATATTTTGAAAGGAATGTTTTTTCTGAGTGGTAGGTTTCAACAGTAAGCTTAAAATACTTAGTAAACCATGCCATAAACAAATGTGCTATCATCTGGGCTTTGTTATTACATCTTTATCACAGGCTGAGTAGATTTAGCATAATTCTTCAAGGCTCTAGGGTTTTTGGAATGATAAATGAGTAACTTAAAGCCACCAGCTGCATTAGCCCCTAACAAGAGAGTCAGCCAATCTTTTGAAGCCAAGCGTTGACTTCTCCTTAGCTATGAAAGTCCTAGATGACATCTTCTGATACAAAGCTATTTCATCTACATGGAAAATCTGTGGTTAGCATGGCCACCTTCATCAACGATCTTAGCTGGATCTTCTGGATAAATTGCTGCAGCTTCTACATCAGCACTGGTTGCTTCACCTTGCACTTTTATGTGATGGGAGATAGCATCTTTCCTTAAATCTCATGAATCAATCTCTGCTAGCTTCCAACTTTTCTTCTGCACCTCTCTCAGCCTTCACAGAATTGGAGATTTGGAGCCTTGGTCAGGATTAGGCTTTGGCTTTAGAGAATGTTACGGCTTATATCCAGACCTCTCAAACTTTCTCCATTATCAGCAATAAGGCTGTTTCACTTTCTTACCGTGTGTGTTCACTGGAATAGCACTTCTGATTTCCTTCAATAACTTTTCCTTGGCATTCACAACTTGGCAAACTGGTGTAAGAGGCCTAGCTTTCAGCTTATCTGGGCTTTTGACCCGCCTTCCTCACTAAGCTTAATCGTTTCCAGTTTTTTATTTAAAGATAAAGACCTGTAACTCTTCCTTTCATTTTAACACCTAGAGGCCATTGTAGGATTGTTAATTGACCCAGTTTCAATACTGTTGTGCCTTAGGCAATGGGGAGGCCACAGAAGAGAAAGAGGAATAGAGATGGGGAATGGCTGGTCGCTGAAGCAGGTGGAACAAACTACATTTAGCAATTTCGTTCACTTTATGGGTGGAGTTCATGGTACCCCAAAACAATGACAACAGTCATGAAAGATCACTGATCACCATAACAGATATAATAATAATGAAAAAGTGGCCGGGCGCAGTGGCTCAAGCCTGTAATCCCAGCACTTTGGGAGGCCGAGGCGGGAGGATCACGAGGTCAAAAGATCGAGACCATCTTGGTCAACCTGGTGAAACCCCGTCTCTACTAAAAATACAAAAAATTAGCTGGTCATGGTGGCACGTGCCTGTAATCCCAGATACTCAGGAGGCTGAGGCAGGAGAATTGCCTGAACCCAGGAGGCAGAGGTTGCGGTGAGCTGAGATTGCGCCATTGCACTCCAGCCTGGGTAACAAGAGTGAAACTCCGTCTCAAAAAAAAAAATAATAATAATAATAATAATAATAATGAAAAAGTGTGAAATGTTGTAAGAGTCACCAAAATGTGACATTGAGACACAAAGTGAGCACATGCTGTTGAAAAAAATGGCATCGATAGACTCGTTTGATGCAGGGTTGCCACAAATCTTCAATGAGTAAAAAAAGGAGTATCTGTGAAGTACAATAAAGCAAAGCACAAAAGAGCAAGGTGTGCTTGTACATTTTCTCCCTCAGTCCTAGAGGAATTCCATTTTAAAGAGGGGATATCTGAAGCCATAATGGTTTTGGTTAAGTCACTTGCCTCTCTGGGGCACCAGGATTCAAATCAAGGTCTGATTCTGGCCCAGTGGCCGCTGTGGTTACCAACATTGGCAAAGCCGGACTCAGGAAGAGTCCAAGTAAGCCTGGAGAGAAACCAATCCTAAGGCTTGGCAAAGAGAAGGAGACCAGGCCCTCCCTCTTGGGCTGGCTTCTGACACACCGGTCTCCAGAAATCCTAGCTACTAACAAGTGACCCATCAGACTGATGCCTTTCCAAGTCCTCTGTGACTCTGTGACTCAGTCTTCCCTGCTGGGAAATGGGAGAGGAAGATCCTCGAGTTTTTTGCTAGCTATCGTGAATTCCTGAAGTATTCCAGGTCTAGGAGCACCTCCTCCACTGGCTCTTCTCCCCCTGCCTACCACTCTCAGCTCACACATCCCTCCCCTCATTCCTGCCACCCCAGATCCTCAGCACTGAAGGACTCTCTCCATATCTTCCTTGGTGTGACAGGGGCTTCTCAGTTACAGACTTCCTATGTGACCCTGGCAAGTTGCTGCCCCTTGGGAGAAATATACGGTGGTTAGACAGGGCCCATCAGAATCACTTGGAGGAACACTTTTATTACTATTTTTTTTCCCCCCTGAGACGGAGTCTTGCTCTGTCACTCAGGCCGGAGTGCAGTTGTGCCATCTCGGCTCACTGCAACCTCCACCTCCCGGGTTCAAGCGATTCTCCTGCCTCAGCCTCTCAAGTAGCTGGGACTACAGGCACGAACCACCAAGCCCAGCTAATTTTTGTATTTTTAGCAGAGGCGGGGTTTCACTGTGTTGGCCAAGCTGGTCTCGAACTCTTGACCTCATGATCCACCTGACTCGGAGTCCCAAAGTGCTGGGATTATAGGCATGAACCACCACGGTGGAGGATCATTTTTAAAGATCTTTATGCATGGGCCCCATTCCCAAAGTCTGATTTAAGGTCCAAGGTGGGGCAGCACGGTTTAAAGCTCCCTAGGGCATCCCAGTTGCAAGCCACGGGGCCAGAGGGGCCCTAGTCCCTTCTATGTGGTTCGTGAGCTCTGCCTGGACCACACTTGAGGAAAATCTCCTGGAGTCGGCTGCTCGTGTTACCTGGAAAGGAGGTCACCAACTCAAGCTGTTTAACCCCAGATGGGAAAGGGATTATAGCTGCCGCCTTTAGCCACAAAGGGAAACATTCTATCTCTGTGTCCAGCCAGGTCCCCAGATGAACTCAGTCTCCATTCTCAGGGTTAGTGCTCTGTCCTGCCAGGGCCCTCTGGGTTGCAGGCGTTTGGGCCCCAACTTCTGCAGCATTAGATGAGTGAGAACGTAGAGTCCTCTCCCTGCTTGGTCTCCAGGGTGCCCTCTGTCTTGTCCCTAATCCCTCCCCTTTCCTGATCATTCACAGATCAGGGCTGCATTTGTAAAAGGGGTTCTGCTATTAAAAAAAAAAAAAAGCTTGAAACCCACTGCCATAGATATTGGGCCAAGCAGGTCCTGCCTTGGGAGGTAGAGAGCTGGGAGCCAGGCAGGTAGGACCTGTGCGGTGGGGTGGGCCCTCTCCTGGCTCTGCAGAGGAGGTAAAAGACTTACGGAGCTGAAGGCCCTATCTCCCAGCCCCACTCAGCCAGCAGAGGTAGGAGAAACCACTGCCCCAATCACTGCTGCTGCTGCTGCCATGACCCACCACACTATTGTCTTGCTCCAAGCCTGTGTGTGCAGATCCCTTCCTGGCACAATGCCTTGCATGTTTTATGTGTAACAGAGTGGGGATCAAACGCAAAAAAGAAAACTGCTCCCCATAAGAATGTCATCTTCAACTTTCTCCATCCAGCAAGCAATGATGATGATGATGATGATGATGGTGATTATTGTCTCATTACTTACTTGTAACACATCTGGAATCTATTCTGGTTTAGAGGAGATAGGGATCCTAGCCATATTCCCCCCCCCACTGGCTTGATGGCCTTCTCCCCCAATGGTGTGAAACGCTACTTTCCTCACAACATCAATGTTTATAAGAACACATCTGGGACTACTTCTGGACTTTCTATTCTGTTTCATCCACTGTGGAATGCTAGGACCTGTGCACACTGTTTTAATTTATGTAGCTTTATAAAACAACTTACTATCTAGAGGGCAAGTTGCCCAATATTATTACTTGTCCTTTAAAAATATTCCATCTAAACTTTGGAATAATTCTGTTACATTCTCTCTTTTTTTTTTTAAAGCGGGGGCTGGGCAGGTGTGGTGGCTCACTCCTGTAATCCTGGCACTTTGGGAGGCCGAGGCAGGCAGATCACTTGAGATCAGGAGTTTGAGACCAGGTTGGCCAATGCGGTGAAACCCCATCTCCACTAAAAATACAAAAATTAGATGGGCATGTGGCACAAGCCTGTAATCCCAGGTACTCAAGAGGCTGAGGCAGGAGAATTGCTTGAACCCAGGAGGTGGCGGTTGCGGTGAGCTGAGATCAGGCCACTGCACTCCAGCCCGGGCAACAGAGTGAGACTCCATCTCCAAAACAAAAACACAAACAAACCCCACTACTGGGGCTTTGATTGCATTTAAATTTAGAAACTACTCTGAGGAGAAATAATCCCTTTACAATATTGCATATTTATTTTCAGGAGCATATGTCTCCATAATTCAGGTTTCCCTCTGCAGTCCTCAGAAGCTCCTTCTTAAAGAGCCCCTGTGCTTTCCTGGTGAGGTTATTCCTAGTTTGTTCCTTGACTTTTGTGCAGCTAGAAAATGGTGTTAGAAAAGCCCTGATAATGGTAGGAGTTCACTCCACAAGCCCCTGTGATTTCCTCATTTCACTGCTGGGAAGAGAGTGTAGGCAGGCGAGGTGGCTGTACCAGAAGATGTGCCTGGGCTCTTAGTGACCCAGTCCCTCACTTCGCAGAGAGAGGGTGTGGCAGGGTGCTGGGCAGGAGGATTGCCTGAGGCTCTTACTGTGTTATGAGTCTGATTTCTTTCCAATTCCATGACTCCAGTCTGCGTTAAGCTCAACTCCCAGTCCCTAAAACTACAGGAGTGAAGAGGTTAGTCTGTCACTCTCTCCAGTAGAGGATGCTCCCATAGATCTACTTGTTCTCAAGTTACATGCTCCACCGACTCAAATCAGTGCCCTGGCTGGCATAGGCTAGGCATCTCATACAACACTGCTTTGTTGAATCTTCCAGCCATCCACATATAATAGATATAATGCCTGAAGCTCAGAGAGGTTCAGTAACTTGCCTGAAGCCACACAGCTTATCCATGGCAGAGCTGGGATTCAGAACTAGGGTAGTGTGACTCCTGAGAGATGCTGATCCCTGAGTTTCAAAGCTTTTTTTCTTTCTAATGGGAGCAGGGAGACCTCAAGTTCCTTATCTAGGTTCAGAGGATACAAACTTACCCCCTTTCCCCAAGTAGATGCCCAGTTTCCCAGCACACCATCCCTGTCACTCTGCTAACAAAAGCAGGTCTGTGTTGACTGCTAAGTCATCCAGGCTCAGGGATGGGAGGGGGCTGGTCAGAGCTGGGCACTGGGAGGCACAGCCCCCTTGCCCTGTGAATCAACTTCCCTGGCCTGGGTGCAGGGGGCCCCAGAGGACCCACCATCTTTGAATAAGGGGTGTTATCTCCGTAATCTTGAGGAAGAAAGACCTGTTGATACCTACTGAGATTCATTTTAAAAAACTACCTGTTACCTGAGAGAGTAGGGGGCCAGCTCTAGCCAGGGCTCAGCCAACCTGGCAAAGGGGAAATATGCAAAGGCAGGAAGGTGAAGGCAGTGGGGGTGGGGGGCAGTGGGCAAAAGTCACTGAAGACAAACTTAAATGTCTCAGGAGGCTTAGCCAGGACTAGAAGGTAGCTATGGGACTGGGCAGTGGGTGGATGTGGGGAAGTCAGCTGGTCCCCTGCCCTGGCCGACATCAGGCTGGAAGCAGATGAGAGTAGACCAAGAGGACAGATAGGCCAAGGGGCTCTAGCAACTCATGGCTGCACTTCTCATCAAGTTGGTCACTGCTCTGTATCTCAGTTTCCCCATCTACAAGATGGGCATGCTAGACTCAAAGCACCCAATGTTCTCAGCAGAAGAAACCGAGAAGAGAAAGGAGGCTTCCCCCACAAACCACAGTCTGCCTGTCCTGCTCCCTCCCCAAGGCGCCTCACTGCCGAGCCGGTGCTCCGGAAACATCAGCCTCCTGGGTGCAGCAGGATGAGCGCACTGGACTTACAGACTCCTGTTGCCCAGAGAGGGGCAGTGACTAAGTAGTCCACGGTGACACAGCTCTCAAGCTTAAGGGTCTGCTGGAGGCACACACCTCTTTCCTTCTATCTTTCCCTCCCCACTTTCTGCTGCCCGCCCCACTCACCCAGGGTGTGATGGGAAGGAAGTGACACTTCCTTTCATGAAAAGTCACTGACTGGGAACACTGCGTCAATTACCACAATAATGGTAACAGCAGCCTCAATAACAACCGGCAGACTCCGCCCCACCCCCTCGGCTGAGGTTGTTGGCTTAAGTTTCTCCGAGCTTGAGCTGGAGCGAAACAAAGACAGCCTTTGAAGCCGAGAAGCGGCGGGTCCACTCGGCGGCTGGGGAGGGGCGGCAGGCCAAGTCTCCGCGGAGCTTGCTCTGGCAGTTTGGGGAGGGGAGGCCTGCCAAGGGCTGAGCTGAAGCCAGCAATGAGGAGAAACGCGATGGACCTGGGCCCACCCCCATCCCCACCAGGGCACAGGTGCAGCTCAAGCCACAGCCCAGCCTCAGTACCTCAGCTTGAGGGAGGGAGAGAGAGACAGGGTCTGGGGGCAGCTGAGGTCACAGGAGCCACCAGAGGGTAAAGAAAGGGAAGAGGGTGCGCGGGACACTGAATGTGAGGCTACCAACTTCCAAGCCCCACTCTCCCTGTCCCTCTTACCGGGCTCTGGGATGTCCTAAAAGCCCCTATTCCAGGATGGGGCTCAACCCTCACTGTCCCGCCCCACCGAGTCTCGGCCACGTTTGGTGGTGACTGACAGTGAGAACTCCGCAGGTTTCGTGTGTTCCCATTGCACCTACGGGGGGCAGAAGCTCAGAGGTGCCAGGTGACTTCTCCAAGATGTCTCCCAACTGTAGAGGCAGATTCTCGGAGGCCCTTTCCGTCTCTGCCGCGTCAAGTTCTAGGCCCCAGGCGGGTCCCTACGGCCTAGGTTGGGCTCTGAGCTCTGCTGTGGGGTGAAGCCCTCGAGCCCCCATTTCCCACCCCTCCTGTGCTCTAGCGTTGCCTGTAGTCACAAAGACGCCACCATGCGTGTGGGCTTCCACCAACGAGGCCTGGGTGGGGCGAGGCACCTGTTGTCCTCCCTTGGTGCCCGCAGAGCCCTCCTTGCTGGCCCAAGACTCTGCAAACAAAGGGGCACTGGCCCCGCAGTGCCTCGGGACCCCCTGGGTCCTCGGGAGTCCTTCATCCCGAAAGCCCTACCACGCCGGCGCGGAGTGGAGGGTGACGCGACCCTGGCCCAGGCGACTCCTGGACACCGCTGAGTGACTGTGTGCGGTCCCGGGTTGCCCCGCAGCTCGGGCCGAGCGCGAAGCCAGGAATCTCCCGCACGCTCGAAGCCTGCGCTCCTGCCCTCTTCTCCCTGAGCTCCCCGGCCGCCAGCCCGTCCCTTCTCAGACCAAGGGAAGGGAAGGGGACACACTCGGGACAGGAGAGGAGAGCAACCAGGGAAACGACCCCTCTCCTGCGGGGCTGCGATGGGTGCGCGGAGAGACCCGAGAGGAAAAGAGAGAAAGGACAGGGGGCGAGAAGCCGGGCGCCCCGGACCATCGGCGCAGCCCGCGGCCGAAAGAGGAACAGTCGAGCCTTCAAAGCGCATTGAGCAAGTTCTTCACACCCGCGCAGCCCCTTTCAGGAAACGGCGGCCGCAGAGGAAAGCGCCGCGCGCCCTAGACCCGGCTCCTGTGCCCCGCGGCGCCGCGGTTCTAAAACCCGCGGGATGTCACGGGGCGGAGGGGTGGCTGCCGACAGCTGTCACAACAAATTAGCTGAGCCCAGCTCGAGGTGGAAACCGCAGCAGGAAGTGGGACTACAGAGACGTACCGGGCTAGGCACATTTCAGGCAGGAGTCGGCGAAAAGAGTTTCGAGATAAACGCCCGGGAAGCCCCTGGCCGCCGAAACTTTTTGTCTTTCCTTTTCTCGAAGCGCGAGCGGACGCCCAGACTCACCCTTTCCCCGCCGGCCGGGGGGCGTTGAAACTATGGGCCAGGCTTGCTCCCCGGGACCCGCGCCCCTCTCCGCCCCCCACGGCGCCACCGACGGCGACGAGGATTGGGGGGACCCGGCGCCACCGCCTTGGCCCTCCCTGCAGATCCTGGGCCGTCCGCAGAGCCACTTACCCATGGCCCGGCGAGGTCCGGCGGCGCCCGCCCAGAGACCCTCAGCGCGTAGCCGTACGGACTCGACGCTCCTGTAGCTACTGGCTCACGGTGCCGCCGGCCGGTCGCCTCCCCGCAGCCCCGCCCCGCCCCGCCCCGCCCCGCCCCACTGTGGGCTCCCATTGGTGGGCCCGGCTCCTTCGTACCGGGACCGCCCCCGGAGCCCAGGGACCTCTGGGAGTTGTGGTGCGCGCCCTCCCTTCCGAGTAGGGCCCCTAGAATAGGCTCCTTTCCTAGAGGGGCAGAGGCAGGACTCCCAGGAATCATTGCTGCCTTGTGCCTCAGTTTTCCCGGAGGCAAAACTAGAGTTTGGATAAATCCTCCTTGCTTTCAGTAGAGCACTGAGGTCTACACAGTAAGTTTTGCTTACTGTGGAGTAAGCAAAGTGCTTTTGACTTTGATTTGAAAGTGACCCTGTGCATTTCCCACTTCCCACCCAGCCCAACATAGAGGGCCAGGTGAGGCCCGGAGCAGCGGCTCACGCCTGGAATCCCTTCGCTTTGGGAGGCGGAGGCAGAGGCGGGCGGCTCACTTGAGCCCAGAAGGTAGAGGCTGCAGTGAGTTTTGATCACACCACTGCACTCTATCCTGAGCAACAGATGGAGACCCTGCCTCAAAAACAAACAAACTCAAAACAACAACAAACAGGAGAGGTGGTTAGTGTGAGTTAGACAAGGACCAAACTAGTAAATCCTTGGCCTAGGCTCTGTGGCTAGGCCCGCCAGTAATAGTCAATGTCCACATACCTAATGCAGAGTGGAAGCTACAAGCTGAGCAGTCCAAAGAGAGGGCATGAGTTCAGGCTGTGGGAGGTGGGAATGAGGCCTAGGGTGAATGGAGGCAGGAGGAGGTGCCCAGCCAGACATAGCAGTAACTTGGACCTGTGGGGGCCAAAGTGGAGGAAACAGTGGGTCAGGGTTTCAGTCTTAGCAGGTGGCTAGTTAGGACATGAACCCTGTTCCTAGCAGGGACAGGGTTCCCTGTGTAGATTTTGTGTAGAAGCTACACAAAAATCTTTGTTGATGAATTTTAATACGCTCTATGCACTTGACACCATCACTGTCCTCATTTTATAGGGTAAAACTGAGGTCTGCTAGATTAGCTCAAGTAACACAGCTGGTAGGTCCTCATTTTATAGGGTAGAACTGAGGTCTGATAGATTAACTTAAGTAACTCAGCAGGCAGGTGTTGGAGCCAGAGCTAGACCCAGGCATCCCCCCGACTCCCTTTGCACCCATTACTGACCACTCGTCATGCTGGTGCTCCTCCTTACACTAAAGGAGCGGACCAGGGATGTAGTTTGGTGAACCTGAAATTCTGACCCTTATCCTTTGGCCCTGGGCTGGAAGATGTCTGCAGGCTCAGTCCACAGCGGACGACACTGTGAGCTCTTCAGGATAAATCCCCTGTCTACCTCGTAATGGGTTGGCTTGTAAGAGCCAGCACCTGTACAGTTGGTAACAGATGCCTAGAACAATTATAATGGTAATTATAACAATGCATACCACTTCCAAGTTTACAAGCCACTCTCTCCTCCAGGAGAGCTAAGGCTGTGTTGGAAGACACTACGATGGGATGCCATCAGGAAGCACCTTTGTCCATTCTAGAAGCATTGATTGACAGGCACTATGCGCAAGGGTGGAGAGGGAGGTCTGGATGTGGCCCCTGGGGTCACAATCTAGGTCAATCCCTCACTCGTGGGATGGGTACCCCTACTGACAAGGAACTCACTATCTTATAAGACACCAGCTCATCCCACCATGAGATAGGGTTATTCTGCTGTCTGGGCAGCTGGGCACATTCTGACAGACAGGGGCTGTTGTGCAAAGCCTCAGCAAGTCAACACCTGCCTGTGCCAGCCTGGGAATGATAGGATCTAAATTTAATTGCTTCCTGAGGCAACTGTTTGCAATAGAAAGTAATTTACAACGGCCGGTAAATCCTTCGGAAAACAGACATCTCCATTCATCTGGCTAAAAGCATAAACACTTGCATTGCTCAAGCTTCCATGTCACACACCTCCACTCCGGCCCACAGCCACCCTCCTCCCGCACCCTCCAACCACAGGATCCCAGACCAGGATGCCCCAGTGCCTACAGAGAGGGTCACCTAGCACCTCAATGTCCTGGTGTCTCTTTGTGTGTCACAATAAGAAAAACAAACCACTTATTGATAAACACATTCTTCCTGTAAAAGCATGCAAGTAAATTGGCCCCCTCTGATGCTACCCCAAATCCAGTTTCCTCCCTGCCCCAGTGGTAAGGACTCATCAGATTGAGTGAAGTCTTCCAGATATTTCCCTATGTATTTTCTTAAATATATATGTATCCATGGTATAGAAAAACATATAGCTTTGTTTTTTATGTGTGTTTGAAGAAACAATACAATTCTCATTGCTCCATTATGAAACTTGCTTTTTTGATCACCACTAGATCTTAGAGACATTCCTTGCTAGAACACAGATCTGCTTCTTTGGGAACTGCTGGGCTTTGTGCCCAAGACAGTGTATTTAATCTCCTCTTGATAGCATTTAATCTTTTTTTGATTACATGAATCCTGCTGAGAACATTATAGACCTCCTTAGAACAGTTTCAGGGTTAAGGAGCTCACAAAGTGTTCCCAGAGACTGAGCTAAAAGCTGCCATCTAACTCCCGCCTCTATGCTCTAGCACCTCTTGTTGGCTCATTTCTAGGAAGAAAATCTGGCCCTGGGGGTGGTTCTCATCCTGGAGCTCCCAGAGCTGTAGGGACCATTGAAGATCATCTGTCCACTTGGTCTCATTTTAAAAAGGAGGACACTAGGCCCAGAGAGCTTAAGTGAACTGCCCAAAGTCACACAGCAAAATCAGTGCTGTTGTTTCTTCTGGGATCCGCAAACTCATCCAGTGCCCTCAGGAAACACAATGCTCAGCCAGTCTTCCACCCTGGGAAGCTCAGTTCCCAGGCTTAGCAGTTGCCAAAGGCCCTTAGGGCTTTGTTTTCAAAGGAGAAATGAAGCAGGGAAGTATTTTTAACGTGGCCCCGCCCTGCTTGCCTGACTCCTCGTTCCCTGTGTTAGCTGTCCAGGAAAGGCTGGCTTCACAGCGGCATTCGCAACTCATGGAAAACAACAAATGCCCAAAATAGATGATACCCAAGCTCAGGAATGGAAAAATTGGCTCATGGTTTCAAATGTCTCTTTTAGAAAAAGACAAGAATAGCTTTTGGCCTTTGGGGAACTGCTGGGGGTGAGGGACTGAGGAGGTGGTGGTGAGTCCCAGATCATCAAGGGCCAACTTATGGCCTGAAAGAGCTTTGGCCACTCTACCCCAGGGCGCGTGTAAACCAGCTTCCCGAGCTTTGTCCACACTGGAAGCTGCATCTGCACCTGGCTCTAGGTTCCTTCCAACCTCCAGCCAATCTGGAACGACTTCCTATGTTGGGTCAGGGCTGGGCTGGGTTCCCCTCTCTGCCTCACTTCTCCCTGCCACGTCCCAGCAGGGCAGAAACCCTGTGCTTTAAGGGTGGAAGCTGAATTCCCCTAGGGGAGGGGAGCGAAGCACAAGGAGAGAAAATCGGGGTTTTCAGCTCTACTCAGACACAGCCCAGTTGTGTGGCTTTGGACAAGTCACTTAACCTCTCAGGGCCTCAGGCCCCTATTCTGGAAAGTGGGATTAACACTCCATTTTTTTCAGTCATCTACTCATCCAACATGCATCGTGTGGTCCTACTATGTGCTAGCACTGAGTTGGACATGGGATGTAGCCACAACCAGAACAAAGTCCCAATCCTTGTGGAGCAGAAGATGTAGTCCTTGCCAACTTCACAGGCTGCTAAGAATCAGTCCCTGCTCCAGCGACTCAACCAAGGCCTGGTGCTGAAAGGGGTGAAATGCCTTGGACCAGGGCTGACCCTAATACACACTGCACCAAGCATCTTGCGTGGAGTATTTCGTTCAATGTCACTCTAGCCCTCTGAAATGGACACTGTAATTATATCTATCCACTTATTACTATTGAGAACCAGAGAGTCTGGACAAGCCTGCAGGCTTGTCCACAGACAGGAAGGAGTAAGTTTGGACTGGGTGAGGGCCAGGCACTGGTAAGTCCCAGGGTCAGGGTAACTAAGCTCCATGTGAGCCTCAACTGGAGCTCAGCACAAAATGCACCAGACAAGGAATCTTTTAAAACTGTTGGGTCTGGCTGGGTGCGGTGGCTCACGCCTGTAATCCCGGCACTTTGGGAGTCCGAGGTGGGTGGATCATGAGGTCAAGAGATCGAGACCATTCTGGCCAACATGGTGAAATCCCATCTCTACTTAAAAAAAAAATTAGCTGAGTGTGGTGGTGCGTGCCTGTAGTCCTGGCTACTCAGGAAGCTGAGGCAGGAGCATTGCTTGAACCCAGAAGGCAGAGGTTGCAGTGAGCTGAGCTTGTGCCACTGCCCTCCAGCCTGGCGCCTGGTGACAGAGCGAGACTCTGTCTCAAAACAAACAAACAAAACAACAACAACAAAAACCGTTGGGTCTGTGTGGCACTATTACTTAAAATAAGGTCTCAAGCTGAACCTTCCACTCTCTGTTGTATGTCAGATGACCCTCCCACTTGACAGAAGAGTAAACCGAGGCATGTAGAGGTGAAATGACTTCTGCCAACCAGACCCTACCCAACTCCCTCAATGGGCCAAGATGAGGCAGGAGAGGGGCGAGGGGTTGGGCTGGGGGTCCCTAGGTGACGGGGGCGTGCCTGGGGCCAAGAGAGAACTCCATCTCCCAGGATGCCATGCAAGGGGGGCGTGTAGGGGCTGGGCATCCGCGTAGGCTGGGCTGTAATTTCTTGGTATTAAAAAAAAAAAAAAAAAAAAAAGGAGCAAAAGGAAAGAGAGAAAGAATCAAAGCCTCAAGCGTCAAGTCTAGGAATAGCGCCTGAGTTGGGCCAAGTCATTAGAGACGATGAGTAATCCGGTTAAGTCATTTCT